GCGACTCGACGGCACATAATAACAACAACAACAACAACCACCCCCCAAGTATTTGAGAATTCAGTTTAATAAATGAACTTGCCACCTATTATCTAGCGAAGCAATGAGTATGGCCCCCAAAAATAAAATATAAAACATGAATTTTCCAAATATGCAAGACTGTTCTTCTGTAAGTCAGATCACCAGAAGCACCCACATAACATAATTATTCTAAAGATTTGTCCTTTCTTTAAAAAGTTTACTATGAGGGAGCTCTGGTGGCCTAGTGGCAAGAAGCTGCACTGCAATTCCAAAGGCACGGGGTTCAAATCCACCAGATACTTTGCTGGAGAAGGAGGGACAATCTCTTCCTGTACCAGTCAGATCCAATTTGATGGTACACACAAAAATAATAAAATAAAATAAAAAATTTTTAAAAAGTTTACTATGGGAAGGAGGGAGGGCTGGGCAGGGAGAAAAGTGCAACAGTGAATGAATGGAAATCCAAAATCTCTGTAAATGTTCATTAAAATTAACAAAATAAAATTTAAAAAAAGGAAAAATCATGCAACAAGAACAATCTCAATAATAAAAATAATTTTGACTGAGTACCTACAAAAAAAGTTTACTATAGTAGGAAATAAAGTCCACATTGTTATGTTGTGCAGTTGGTAGTAATACAGACAACTGAGTCAATTAACAGACTTCAAACTATAGGTACTATAACTACAATTAAGTATAAATACTGTCTATTTTATTTTGAACTAATATCTCACACATATTAGAAAGCCATCAGTGGGCTGTCAACCCAGAGACACGTGGTTCAAATCCACCAGCTGTTCCAAGGAAGAAAAGGCAATCTCTCCCCGTGCTGTTTACTGTCTCTGAAAACCTTGTGGAAGGTCAGCTATCAGCTGGTTTTGACTTGATGGCACACGACAACAACAACAATATCATCATCATGGTTGTTGTTGCATAACGCTGAGTCAGAACCAACCCACAGCTGACCCTCCAGCGGATCTTCAGAGGCAGTTGATCACGTGGGAGGAGACTGCGCATCCTTCTCACGTGGAGCAGGCGGTGGACTTGAACCACGTGCTTTTGAAATGGCTGTACAGCTTCTTGTCACTAGGCCACCAGAGCTCCCTACATGTATAATATGTAAGAATTTTTTTTTTAAAAAAAAAAGGGGGGGGGAGCTCTGGTGGCCTACTGGCAAGAAACTGCCTGCAATCCCAGAGATACGCGGTTTGAATCCATCAGATGCTCTGCTGGAGAAGGAGGGGCAATCTCCTCCTGTACTATTCAAATCCTATTTGACCATACACACACAAAATAATAAATTAAAAATTAAAAAAAAGTTAATCTATTTTGAGGAGAATTTAAGATAATATGAGTATATTAGAGGTTTTGATTCTATGGATACTAATTTTATTATGCTCCTTAGGACAAAGTGAACTGGTTAAAATTCTGAATATTATGCCACATTTTATAAATATTTCAGAACATTTAAATATAAAATTAAAGGCATTTTTTGCCATATTTCTTAGAAATTGTTCTGTATCATCTTATGTTTCTATTTTTGAGCAAATATCGTTGGTTGTATTTTTTCACAAACTATAAGCCTATAAATGAGTATATCCACATTTTACTCCATTTTTAGGACACTTAGAAAGTGACCAAATTGCTCAATAGAAAAGGTGCTACCATAATAATCCTCTATTTACCTGAAACAAGAATGTCATTTCTCAGAGCACAGACCGCATACTCTGATTTGGTAAATTCTGGAAGCTTAGCCAGAGACTTCCACTCTCCCGTCACAGGATCATAGCACTCAGTATATGGAAGGTTAAATCCGCCAACTCGTTCACAGCCTCCAACAACTACTATCACCTCAGAATAGCCAGTTGACCTGAAAGAATTGAATTAACAAATAATAAGGAAGAAATTAAAATACAGTCAAGATTGTTAAAAATCTTGAACACATATCACTACTATTAAAAAAAGAAGAAACACTATTACAAAGCACTTCATTCTCTGAGTGTGCCAAATGACACAGGATGGCACTTAGTTATTTAATAAGAGATATTTTTCTTCCTTATCTTTTTACTGAGATATAATTTATATATGATTTACCCATTTAAAGTGTACCACTAAACAGTTTTTGGTACAGTAACTGCTATAAAAACCATCCCCACAGTTCATTTTAGAAGACTTTTATCCTCCAGTTTTCTACAGGCTTTGCCTTGGAAATTATAAAGCAGTCCAAAGATTATACCAAACTCAACAAGAAACCTGGTACACCTAAGGATGACTTCCAAATCAACACAGTTGTGCAACAATTGTACAGAGTTACACAGGGTAAGTAATGTACTTATTAAAAGTAAAGGGTAGTTACACCTTTCTTTCATCACGCCTTTCTTGCTTTATTCTGAGTGTAATATCTGTCACAAAAGGACAAATACTGCATGGTGCCACTGTTGTAAAACGGGACTATCATTAGGTTGAGGGGAGACTGAGAAAGGGGATAAATCACGTATACTGTATTGAAAGAGATGAGGGAGAGAGAAAAAAAATCAGTTATTCTAAAACATCCTCTAAAGGAGAATATGGAACCCAGGGCTGATGTCAATTCTTCATGTGTTCAGCAGCTAACTGACAGGCAGGAAGTTCAAACTTTCCCGCCCAGAGGCTCATGTGAAAGATGACTTAGGGGTCTACTCCAGAAAATTTAATCATTATAAACTATGTGAAATACAATTCTACCGTGACATACAGGAAGTAGTATAACTTAGGCACAGCAAATGGTTTACTGGTTGGAAAGGACTATATGCATTTGTTCAGAAATTATTTCTTAAATACAAAGTTAATATAAAACAGAAACTCAAAATGCTGAGCAGTAATTGAAAATGATGCCAACAGAGTTTATAACAAAGAATGTTAAAAGTAGAAAAGCAAGATGGAAAATCTGTGCTTAAATTATGATCACAACTATATAAAAAGGAAAATTATTTAAGTCTGTGTCTGGAATGATGTTGCTCTTTCCCTCCTAAATTACAAATTTTCAAAGTTATAATAAGCATATGTGAGTTTTTGAATGGAAAAAACAATTTTGAAGAACATTAAAACAACCCAAAGATTTATGGTAATCACTAAATTATTCTATTTTGTAGTTTAAAGAAACAAAAATAATGCTTGTCCAGGACATTTTTGTTGATAAGGTTAAATGTTTTGGAAATGTAAAATTCTCTGGTGTTTAAATCTTTTCACAAAAATATAAATAAGAAAGTCTTGTCATCATTTACAATGTAAAACATTTTATGTTTGCTACAGTATTGCCATTTCACAAAGAATAATACCAACACCTTTTCATCTCTTACTTAAACATGGAGGTGAAACTAACATCCGCCTACTTATTTTTAAAAGGCTTGGCGTTACACAATTTCAACTGGAAAGAAACCCCGTAAGCACACAAAAGCAATTGACAAATCTTTTTTAACAGTTTTTAGTAGTCAGTGTGTTGTGTTGCTAACCAAAATGCAGTCTGTCTCCAGTGTTTTGAATCCACCAACAGCTCTGCTGATTGATAGAGATTGGCAGTCTCCTCCTTAAACCAGTGGAGAGTCACTGGGAGTCAGCATGTGTATCACAGCAGTGAGTGTGAGTGAGTGACTGTTAGCTACGTTTACTCAGGGCTATGCTTATTTACAGAATGCTTTTTATCTGTTATAAAATAAGAAATAAATACTTGAGAAAATAGTTTTGCTCACAGACGCAATAAAAATTGCTTTCAGGATCTAATAATACAGCCCTGACCTACTATGTACTAACAAACTAACACTTAAGTATTATCATGAAAAATTTCTTATTTTCCAATTCCACAACAGCAATATTAAAATTGAAAGGAAGTATACAGCAGATACAGTAGTGTAACTATTGAATGGGAATCCTAGAACATTTAATTGTGCTAATGCGAAACCTATACTTGGACCAAGAGGCAGTCGTCCGAATTGAGCAGGGTAACACTGCATGGTTCAAAATTGAGAAGGGTGTACGCCAGGGATGTGTCCTATCTCCAGACCTTTTCAACATGTATGCAGAACAGATTATCCGGGAGGCTGGGCTCTATGAGGAGAAGTGTGGCATTACGATTGGTGGAAGATCTATTAACAATCTGCGTTATGCAGATGACACAACCCTGCTTGCTGAAACTGAGGAGGACCTCGTGCACTTGCTGCAGAGCGTCAAGGACTGCACCCTTCAGTATGGATTGAGGCTCAATGTCAAGAAGACAAAGATTCTCACCACTGGACCAATTGGCAGCATCAGGATGGATGGCGAAGAGATTGAGATTGTTCACAGCTTCAGTTTGCTCGGCTCCACGATCGACACTCTCGGCGCGAGCAGCCAGGAAATAAAAAAATGTATTGCGATGGGAAAGTCTGCTGTTAGGGAACTCTCTAAAGTACTCAAGAGCAACAGTGTGTCTCTGGAGACTAAAGTGTGTCTGATAAAGGCCATGGTCTTTGCTATCACTTGTTATGCATCAGAGTTGGACAATGACTAGGGAGGATAGAAGGAGAATTGATGCCTTTGAGCTGTGGTGCTGGAGAAGAGTATTGAATGTACCATGGACTGCCAAGAAAACAAACAGATTCATCCTGGAAAGGGTTAGACCAGGCTACTCCTTGGAGGTAAGGATTCTGGGGCTTCGTCTGACATACTTTGGACATGTTGTAAGGAGGGACAGGTCCATGGAGAGGGACATCATGCTTGGTAGGGTGGCGGGACAGCGCAGGAGGGGAAGAGCCTCTATGAGGTGGATTGGTTCAGTGACTGGGGTGATCGGGATGGGTGTGTCAGAGGCAGTGCGACTGGCACAGGATAGAGCAGGGTTTAAGGCTGCTGTACATAGGATCGCTATGAGTCACAAGCGACTTGACGGCACATAATGACAACAACAACATTATATATTTTAAAATATCTTTAAGTCAAATCCATGTGGTATTCCTCAATTTATGGATTAAAACAAAATGGCACAACAAACAACAAATGCTGGTGAGGTTGTGGAGAAACTGGAACCCTTAATCTGTTGGTGGGAATGTAAATGGATGGTGCAGTCACTACGGAAGGCAGTATGGCGCTTTCTCAGAAAGTTGCAAATAGAAATACCATTTGACCCAGTAACTCCACTATGGGATATTACCCCAAAGAAAACCGTAACTGCCACCCAAGCAGACACATGCACACCTATGTTCATTTCGACTTTGTTCACAATAGCAAAGAGTTGGAAACAACCTATGTGCCCATCAACAAACAAATAGAGACCTGTGATATATTCACACAATTGAATACTACTCTTCTTTAAAAAACAAAGCACTCATGAAATTAGTATTACTATACAAAATGGGTAGCCCTGGAGGACATTATGCTGAGTGAAATATCCCAGTCACAAAAGGACAAATACTGCATAGTGCCACTGCTGTAAAACAGGACTGTCATCAGGGTTGGGCGGAGACTGAGGAAGATGGGATAAATTATGCATACTGCATTGAAACAGACGAGAGAGAGAGAGAACTGTTTAAAAGGGATATATGATTAGGTATTATTGTCATGACAGGAGTCCAGAACAAAGGCTGCATAATGGAGTGGACTTGGGGGGAGGGACTGTTTAACAATGAAAGAATTTTTCTTTTACTTTTCAAAAAGAAGAGTGAACTGGGGGGAGAGGGGTAGGCAGGGAGAGAAGTACAACAATGAATGAATGAAAATCCAAAGTCTCTGTAAACTTTCATTAAAATGTATAATAATAAAACATTTCTTTTTAAAAAAAGAATCTTTGCCGCCAAGGAGTAGGCTGGTTTTACCCTCTCTAGGATGAACT